GCTTACATTCCGAATTTCTGATTACACTGCTTCATGAATTGAAAGAATCTGTTCGTTTTGATTGAATCTAGACCTGCATTCTGATTATACTGCTTCAGGAATTGAAAGAATCTTTTCGTTTCTATTTAACTAATTCGCGAATCGCATTTTAGGCTTCGAAAACAATACTTCCGTGTTCGTCAAATTTCCTGAATACTTTTCAGTCCAATATTCTCTGGTATATCCAACGCATGTGAAAGACTTTTCGTTGTTCTTATCAAATTTTTGGTTTAAACTTTAAAAAAACGATCAAATATCGTCGGATTTGATTTTCCTCGAAGCAAGGTAAGACTAGAGGGCATGAACAACAAAAATATCTCCATTATTAACGTGAGCAATGGGAGATGATAAAATTGAGAAATCAACTGTTCTGATTTCCTTATTATTGTATTGTTATCAGTAAAGTCGAAGGAGAAAGTGATGGTTGCTGTAACCTTTCTCAGATCCATATCCACTACCTACTTAATTTGCTTTGACAACATCACAAAGTTGACTGTTCTTTAAATCTCCGACAATTTTATTTGTTCTTCCTTGAAAAACACGATTATTTGCTTTTCTTCTTTTAAACAATTGAAAATTAAGTTCATCGATCTTGATTTGCTAACTGCTAATTCTCCTCGCCATTTACTGCCTTCTTCACTCTAATTGGAAAGATGGGATACCAAATTTTGTCCATACCCAAAAATATACTTAGAGACTAAAGAAACAGGAAAGGATCCTCTACCACGTTTGGTATTGCAATTACAACTGGCTTTTAACATCCTCAACAATACTAATAATTGCCTTGCTATTAATTAATTAAAGCTTTCATGAATTACTGTTCTTTACTATTATGATCTGTTTTTTTTACTGAACTATATGATTTGTGTGGTTTGTGAAGGGGACAATGCTGAGTGGTGAGTCGGTCCCACATTTGTCTCATGCATTTAATCCATTGGAATATTTTATTCCACCTATTTCAACTTGAAATAAAAGAATGCCAACTTTAATGGTCAGAAAATACTATTTTTTCCCACACCCACCACTCCATGATTGGATAATTGTCGTGTTCTGGAGTTACCGTACCGACACTACCTTTTCTTATCAAAATGAATAGCGTTCATGAATAGTAATCACACCGAGATAAATTACAATGCAAGTATAAATTGCAGTAAAAGTGAAAGCATGACCTTTTTACTTCAAGATCTTAATATTTGACATATTACTTGCTGCAGAAAACAGGTGTGACAGGGATTAGAGTTCTTCGTTCCTGGCGTGCTGTAGATTTTTTTAATTGCTCTAATATGGGGATGCCCAAGAAACAAATTGTTAACCATTTTTCCAATTTCTATTTGTTTATATAGTTTATCCCAAGTGGGGTTTTTGTAAATAATGTGTTTTCCATGGTAGAACTGCAACATTTTTCCCATCTCTTAATTAAATTGGTCGAGTTTCTTGTCCTTTGCTTGTGTGCCAGGCTTTCAGGTTTGTCACTCTCTTGGAGGAGGCACTGGTTCTGGCATGGGAACCCTATTGATATCGAAGATTAGAGAAGAGTATCCGGATAGGATGATGCTCACCTTCTCGGTTTTCCCTTCTCCCAAGGTCTCAGACACGGTTGTGGAACCATATAATGCCACTCTTTCAGTGCATCAGCTGGTTGAGAATGCAGATGAATGCATGGTTCTTGATAATGAAGCTCTTTATGACATTTGCTTCAGAACCTTAAAGCTCAGCACTCCTAGCTGTAACCTCTCTCTCTCTCTCTCTCTCTCTCTCTTGTCATTTGCTAAATTAAATATTAGATACTTTTAAAAGAAACACTACTCATGAGCTAATTTTCTCGTAGAATACTCTGTTTTAGCATTTTCATAAACTCAATATCTGTTTTGTTTGTATGAACAGTCGGTGACCTGAACCATTTGATCTCTGCAACCATGAGTGGAGTAACATGTTGCTTGAGATTCCCAGGTCAATTGAACTCGGACCTGAGGAAATTGGCAGTGAATCTGATCCCATTTCCCCGTCTTCACTTCTTCATGGTTGGATTTGCTCCTCTGACCTCCCGTGGCTCTCAGCAGTACATCTCCCTCACCGTCCCAGAGCTGACCCAGCAAATGTGGGACGCCAAGAACATGATGTGCGCCGCCGACCCCCGCCACGGCCGCTACCTGACGGCCTCTGCAATGTTCAGAGGAAGAATGAGCACCAAAGAAGTAGACGAACAGATGATCAATGTGCAGAACAAAAACTCATCCTACTTCGTGGAATGGATCCCCAACAACGTGAAATCAAGCGTTTGTGACATTCCTCCAAAGGGTCTGAAAATGGCGTCCACATTCGTCGGAAACTCGACCTCCATTCAGGAGATGTTCAGAAGGGTAAGCGAGCAGTTCACGGCCATGTTCAGGCGGAAGGCTTTTCTGCATTGGTACACAGGTGAAGGAATGGATGAAATGGAGTTTACAGAGGCGGAGAGTAATATGAATGATTTGGTTGCTGAGTATCAACAGTATCAGGACGCAACGGTTGATGATGAAGCTGATTTTGAGGATCATGAAGAAGATTATGCCGAGCAGTAGCAAATTAATCTCTCCGCCGCTGCTTAGCTGAATTCCTGGTATGATTCATATCATCATTATATTCTCTCTATATCGTTACCAGAATTCTTCTACAAAATATGCTCTGCGTGATTTGATTTGATTTGATTTGATTTGATTGTTCTTCCATTTTGATTCAAGTTGAATTCCTTGTTTATGTTCTTGGATCTATTGTTTGTTTCTTATTTCATTATTATTATAATTATTTTGGTTACTCTTCTTTGCTGTGTTATAAGTTTTTGGGTTAAATATTTAGAAATTGAAGCAAAAATATATTACTAAATTAATATTGGCTTTTGAAAAAAATATCTTATAAACATGTTTTGATTAAACTAAGAATTAGTTATATGGGATAATTATAAGGTTAGTTCCACACTAATTTAATTATAATGTTTTTAACCCAAACAATTATGGTTAAATTTATAATGATGCCATCCAAATTTAATGGTAAAATATTTGAGTTTGGTTGGTTTAGGTTATTTGAATTAATTATTCAAATTTTGTTTTGTAATAGAAGTAAAAAAAAAAAATTACCTCATAATCTCAATTAAATTACATTTAAAAATTTTAAAATTGTGTTAAAATAGTGGTTAAAAAATAAATTATAAAAAATTATGAAATTAAGTAAAACTAAAATAAAGAAAATTTATACAATTTTCTTAAACAATAAATAATTTTTAAAATTAAAAATAAGTAGGAGTTTGTTAACTTAAGCAATGAACCCTTAAGAACTTTTACGAACAAAAAGTTGACTCCTAGGTTTGAAACCTGGGGGGTTTGGAACCTGAGGGGTTGCTTCGAGAAATCTCCTTTCTTTCTTATTCACTCAAGGGAGTGCGGACACACCTTTATCGTTAAACTCTTTTTCAAAACCGTTTTTTGTCACTTCCAATTTTTCTGTGAGTTTTGGGAATATCTCCATTAATAGGTCCGAGATCCACATATATGAATTGAAAGGTCCGAATGATCAACTCCGACTTTAGTTAGAAGTAGAAGTAGAGGGTGCCCTTTGCCCACTTAAAGGTTAGGTTGGATTGATCTAATTTTTTGGATCACCAATTTTTTTTAATATCCTCTATAGTCGATTCGTGCTTTCAAGAAAACATGCCATTCAATCGAATTTAAAAATTAGATGACGTCTTAGAAACAGTAATAGTGTGTCAAAAAATGACATTCTCTATCAACATAATTAATTAATTATTAAAATCGATTTTATTTATATTATAAAAAATATAATAAAAAAAAATAAGGCGATACCATTTATGTAAAAGAAAGAGGCACGGAATAATCAATATCCGAGCTTCCAAAATTACTATATTTTCCAGCAAAATATCAATCAATAGAATTACCAAATTTGGTGCTCTGAAATTTAATCATTTCCGCATCTTTGACTGAATTGGAAATTTTCTATTTTCAACATTTTCAACAACAATAAAAAATTTCTCTTTTTAACTACAAAACACTCTCTCTCTCTCTCTCTTTTTTTTTTTAATTGTTTATACCCAATAACTTGTGGTACAATTCACAGAATTTTATCAAAATTATAGCTCTTTTTTAGGAAAAAATATTGTTGTTAACTAAGTTATAATTAATTTTATAAATAAAAAAATCAAAATATTTAAATAATGGTTAGTAATTTCTGGATCATTAGTGTGAATTTTTTTTTTAAAAAAAGTTTTAAAATACTTTTCTCGGTTTGGTTGGTGTACAAATTTGCATAGATTAGGCCTAGTTTGGTCGAAGTCAAATTTAATTTGGTTCAGTCTCAATGGGACGTGATCCAGTTGGGTGTTGAGCCTTTTCTTACCTTTCCTTAGGTAGATCAGATATTACAACCTTGACGTATTGGAGGCTAGTCTTGCATCTTTGACGTATTTGAGCTCTATTTCACCCATTACATGCCTAATCAGAAATGTCCAAGGCCATTTATGTATTAAATAATAGGACAATAGAAATGTCCAATACCATTTATGTATTAAAAAAACAATAATAAAAAATAAAATAAAATAAAATAAAATAAAAAGAGCCACATATTATTGACATATGTACACAAATCTATGAGCTTCCAAAATTGCTGAATTTTGTAGCATCCATCCAATCAACAAAATTTCCATAATTACTACCCTAAAATTCAGGAATAACATTATTATTATTTATTGATATAGAAAATTCTCTAATTACCCACGATTTTCTTTCACTATTATCAACAACAAAATAACACATTAAAAGAATTATAATAATAATAAATATATATAACACCATGCAAATAAGTAATAGGAAACTTACTTTTTTATTATTTATATATTGATAATTATGTTAATAAAGAAAAAAAAAAGCACATGGTGCAGCTCTTAGGATTCTATCTACCTTTACAATTGGAGCAACACCCAAGTCAAAAATCTACAAACAAAAAAAAAATATTAATCTAACCCAATTCCACAATCAAAATAGGCCCTCTGCATCATCAATCAAAGAAATTGATGAACGAAATCCTAAGATCAAAAAAGATGTGAAAATGTGAAATTTGTTGAACTCTGTGATCACATACAGGGATTGTTAGGAGGAGTCTGCAATTTGGTAACGCCGTTGTTCTTGTTCTTGCAGATCTGAATCCTGTTCTTTCTAGCTCGAGCCGCCATGAATCTGGAGTAATTCCTCTGGTTGATTTCTTCAAGAGAGATGTTCAAATCAGGAATCCCCATTGGGCTCAATGAAGAAGGATCATAGAAAGGAATTCCCCCAATCGGGATTTGAAAATTCTGACTGCCATTATTACTCTGTTCCGCCATGGGAGCTGGCTGCTGATGATTTGAGGATTCGACTGTGAGCAGCTTAACGACTTCCATGGCCGAACTTGAGGTTCCTATTTCTGGAATTGCTGATTCGTTCTTAGAACTGTTAGAACCCAGAATCATCTGGACAAGAAGAAGAACAATAAGATTTTGATTCAGAAACAGAGCCCACAGAAAATAAGATAATGAAATTGGGGACTGCAGAGTTCCAAGTAGAAAAATTAAGAACCTCTTGCTTTTTGGCCTTCAATTCCGAATTGATAGCTTTCAGATGATTATAATGTTGCTTCATAGCTTCAAATTCCTGTTTTAATGGAAAATTAAATAAATAAAGAGAAGAAGAAGATAATATTTGTGAGGGTATGAAAAGTAGGGGGGGAAATATAGGAAAAGGACAAACGAATTTTGCAGCGCCCAGAAAAGGTAAAAAGAAAAATATAAAAATAAATAAATAAATAAACTCACCCCTTTCAAACCTTGATTCTGCTTGGTCAATTCGTCAATGGCTTCCACAAACTGAGATTTCTGAATCCAAGATCCAAAAACATCGATAAGAACTCAACATACAAAATCAGAGCCAGAGAACACAAACAACGAACAGAAATAACTAAAATTAGGTCTAAACAAGAAAATCAAATGAAAAAGAAGAGTAATCAATCGGTAATGCAATAGAGACCTTATCGAGAGACGCCTTCTTCTTGGAGTGTTTAGCGTTGGTATGTTCATCGGATTCACTCCGAGACAACGGCAAGGAGTTGAGGACGAGAGGAGAGGTCGGGCTGGACTCCTTGACCTTCTTGGACGGCGGCGAAGGGACGGAGGCAGAGGATTCCGGCGGGGAAACTAAGGCGGATCTCTTGCGTCGGAGTGTCCAGACGGGGATAAATCCGAGATAAACGACGGATTTCTTCGAGAATTCGAGGAGGATTTGAGCGACTTCGTGTTCTTTAGGAGTAAAGGCGAAATCGAGAGAGGCGCATTGAGGAGTCGCCGCCATGGGAGCGGAGTTCGGAGGTTTAGGGCAAGCAAAATTCCATGGAAGGTTGAAGAAGAAAGGAAGAAGAAGGTGATTATGGGGCTTTTATAGAAGGAAGAATTTGACGAAAGGAGAGCGTGTGAGTGTTTGGTTGAAGAAGACTACTGGGTTTCACAAAACCAGAATAGGAAAGGATTTTGGCAAAGAATGTGGGATGTGACACGTGTCGTCCGTATAGAGATTCTGGATGCCCCTCTAGGGTTTAAGCCTCTTCTCTCCGTCAAGAGGCCCTAACAAGCCCAAAGGCCAACTCATGCTTAGGTCTAACCTTGGTCTCTAAAAGTCAAACTTTGACCTATTTATTCATTTCATAATCGCCCTTTTAACGGAAGACCGAGAAAACTGGAAAGATCAGAAGAAATCTCACTGTCCATTCGAGTTTAGAATACACTCATACAAAATAAAATTGGCTATTATATAGCGTTACAGAATACACTTAAACATAATAGCGTTTTAGAACACGCTGAAATATAATAGCTTTACAGAATACACTGAAACCGCTGCTTAAAATCAAACTTACTCCATCTATTAGCCATGTCTTAACTATTTTAAAAAATTACGTTGAAAGTCTTTCCTGTCTCCATCCCGACCACCTATTATATAGTGACTGGAGTATCAATCAGGGGCGCGCCCCTGACCCCCAAAATATTCTTCAACCTCACAAAAATATATAATAATGGTCGGATATTATTTGCCATTAGATAAATTTACAAAATATATAAAATAATAACTTTTAAAAATTAAAAAAAAAATTGAATTTTACCATTTTTGTACAAAAATTTAAAGTTTATGTTGTTTATGAAAAAATGTTTAGGTTAAATGTATAAAATTATAGAAAGGTTATCTAATCTGATTTTCTACTGTTTTTAGTATTTAATTATTTTTTTTTCTTTGAAAAATAGACAATAATAAGATAAGTTCTTGTTATTGGGACAATAAAGCCTCAATTTAGAAAATATAACAAATTTTTAAAGGCAAAATTTTGAATTTTATTTTATTTATTAAAAAAGGAAATAGACCGAAATCAGAACAAAAAAAGGAAAAAAACTTATACATAAAATAGGAAGTTGTACGGTCTTCTATACTTTCAATTTCGTTTGATCCTCAGAATGAAGTAGACGTCAGTCAGCTTACGATACTCGCCTCTCTTGTCGACAAATAGGATGATGTCGAGACGCAAAATCTCGACGACGGAGCCGTCGTCGAATTTCACTGTCCTGCGAATCCCCGAATCGAGCTCGGAGAACACAGACCTAGACCCGATCATATGATTTGTTACCCCTATGTCGAGGACCCATGGTCGGTGCTCTTGTTGCTCGCCTGTTTCACTGATTTATATATATATAATCTTTTATTTAATTAGTGGGACTCTGATGTCCCACATTAGTTAAGAGGAGAACAAAACATTATTTATAAGGGTGTAAAAAGGTGTAGAAACCTTCCTCTAATAATAGACGGGTATGATTGCTCAAATGCACCCTGAGTCGTTACAGAGTTCACTAGTAAGATTGCTCAAATGCAGAAGTTGATTTAAATGCAAAAATTAAGAACATATTCTCTTACAGAAACCCCCTCAAAAAAAATTATAAAGGACTTTCCAGATGGAAAAAAATAAGAGGATAAATGATTGAAAACTACGAACAGGCACTGATGCCAATTCGGTGAAGTCGAATCAGAAACAAAGGTGAAATGGAGAAAGAACCAATTGGCCCCACAGAATTTATGCCAAAGCAAATTAACAAACAATCTTCATCGCTCTCTCTCTTTCTATATATATACGACCACTATTCTTCTGAATTCCCCAAGCTCAAACACAGAGAGAAGAACAATGGGTTGGTTGATAAGAGAGAGGAGAGGCCCATCATGGAAACAAGGATGGGCAGAGCAGGCCTTGGCCTCCATAGCTCCTCCGCCAAGGCCTCTGCTTGCTGTTCTTGGAATCTTGGTCATTTTGCTATCTGTGTCATCATATTCAAGCTACAGATCCCAGGTGAAAAGAACAAGGGTCAATTTCAAGATCTTTTTCTTGTTATTACCTCTAGTGTTTGTGTTTGTTGGAAACTCGATTGTTAGATATGGTCGTCTTGTAATCATCACTCCGAGAACAAAGCTTGAGCCGGTTTACGTCGCAGAAGGCGCCGCTGCCTCACCTTGGGGTGCGGCAGCGTTGCTGGTGGTGTTGTTGGTTTTGATATCTTATCAGCCTTACTTCCACTCTAAATGGTTTCCATCAATATGGATACCGTATTATTATTAGGCCGTGATGCTTTGGCTTTGCGTTGTTCCCTGCAGTATGTTCCTCTTAATTGCTACCTTCTCAATAATTCCACAAATATGTTGTGAGAGTACTAACTTACACATGCATACTGCTCCTTAATTTGAGAGATTTGAAAGGGGTCTTTGATTCACTTTCGACGTCTTTCTTCTGTTTTAAGCTCCCGTCCTCCTGATAACCAAAAAATGAAACATGTTAATGTCAATGATTGTTAGGAGAGGAGTCCCATATCGATTAATTTAGGGGTTGATCATGGATTTATAAATAAGGAATACATCTCCATTCGTATGAGGCCTTTTGAATAAACCAAAAGTGAAGCCACAAGAGATTATGCTCAAAGTGAATAATATCATATCATTGTAAAGATGGAGGAAGAAGAACACAAAAACACAAGGATTGTCGATCACTACATCTAACCAGCCTAGAAGGATTGTCCATTCACAGTATTCTTTCATTGTGATATCAGTTTAAGTCAGTCTATCTTAATTGCTCACAAATTTTTGACATTATTGAGAGATCACAAGCATGAGGTAAAAAGGCATATTCTTTTAGGCAAAAATCTCTCAATCTCTTCGCTATTTGTTTGAAGAGGGGAACGAATCATTCCTTACAAATGGTATCAAAGTCAAACATCGGGTGATGTCCCAACAAGGACACTAGACCCTCAAGAGGATGGATTGTGATATCCCACATCGATTGAAGAGGAGAACGAAACATTCCTTATAAGGATATGCAAACCTCTTCCTAGTAAACGCGTTTTAAAACCTTGAGGGAAATTCCTGACAATATCTAGGGGCTTGGACCATTACATTTCTTACTTTCTTTCAATCTCGTGTGTACTAGTAGTAAACTTTAGTTCTGCTTTGTTCTAGGTTTCTCTTTCAGGACCCATGTTTCTATAGATTACAATTGTACTGGAGCAATATGAGCATCTCATTCCTAAAAAATGAAATTGGAAATGGATAGCTATAGTTGATAAATGGATCATATGCACACAGAACTTCAAACTTAGATAAAGAGAACAACAAAGCCTAGGAGTAATAGCTGAAGCAACAAGACAAGAAATTCTTACCTTTCCAGAATCTCCATTGCCACGAGGTGCTTGTGCAGAAGATGCTTTTCTTTTTCCTTCACTCCTAATCCATAGGTTTTCTAGCCAGATGTGCATCGGCTTAACACCGATGCGCCAGTTTGATTTCTTAAGACTTCCAACTCATGAAAGATTCTACCAATTTCATCGTTTAATTTTCTAGAATCAACCTCAATCTTTTCCAACTTACTTTCTAAGCCTGCTTTTTGTGCAATCCTTTTCATTATCCGAAGATTGAAGTTCTTCCATATTAGCAAGAAGATTTTCAGAGCTCCTTTCGGATGCTAGCGTTTCTCGTAATCTCTGCATCTCGCAACTCTAGGTCTTGGAATTTCGTGTTCTTTCGTTAGATTTTCCAACCTATAATGAACTTATTGAAGAAACATCCTGAATCTATTTGAAAGTTACAACTATAAAGTTCAAAAAGAAAACATTGAAGAATTTAAAAGATATTGGATCGCTAACATACGGATCGGTGGTTTTAGCAGAGAGAGGGCTAAAAATTGTTTGAAATCTTGCAACTCGTTGTTCGTCATTTCGGCAACATAAGAAAAATATCGATCGAGTGAAATGCAACAATGTCAAAACCTAAAAAAAAACCTGATATAATTTGACAAAAAAAATCGTCTCTCCTTCAAACTCATGTTGAAATCCGACTTCGATGCATCAAGCGTTCGCTCCATATCTCGCAAAACCAAATTCCCTTTCAACTACACAGAAACGCCCAAAATTTCTCAACAACAACAGACTAAAAACTTCACGGCGTTCTTCTTAAATCGGAACAAAAGAGAGAGCGAATTAAAGACGGAACCGATACCTGGCAGATCAAATCTTCGTGAAGACGAGTAACTGAGGTCCACCGATCTTGTTACAGTCTCCCTTCCCCGCCTTTTCCATTTTCATATTCATTTTAAAATTATATTTCTATTATATTTTCAAGTTACGAATTATTATCTTAAATTTGGTACGTGAACTTATTTTACCATTATTTCGAGTTAAATATTTGAAATCAACATATTAAAATGACAAAAATATCCTTATACTATCCATTCCATAGTTGATGACAAAATAGACATGTCAGCAATTTTAAAACATGAAATTATATATATATATATATATATATATATAACAAAGAAGAAAAAAAGTAGAAATAGTGTTTATAATAAATTTAATAATTAATAACATTTATTAGAAATAAATTATAATAAATTTAGAATTAATAACATTTATTAGACATAATTTAAAAATGTTACACGTGTAATTTCTAGAGTAAATACGGAATAGAAATAGGATAATTTCGTTGAATTAAATGTTAGAAATTTTCTGCTTATGTCATAATTTAAAATTATTGTTAAATATTGGACCCATTATTATTCTTCAAATAATTTTTATTTTAATTTCAGATTTTTACTAATTTATAAAAAATAAAATAAAATCTAAAAGAACACCATATGGTAAATATTTTATTTTTATTTTTTTTGTCATTTCCTATAATTTACAGCTGTGGCGCACAGGTGGACAATGACTAACAGGATCAGGATTAGCTCCAACGTCTGTTGTTCCATTATTCACCATCTAAATTTATTACTTTCAGGTATTTTCACTTAATTAATAAAAATATAATTAAAATTTTATAATTGGTTTAAAAAATACTTTTAAAAACTTCAATAATACCTTTATTTTTTTTGTTTTGAAAAAAACTAAAAAATATCCTGATTTTTACTGTTAGTTTTAAATAAAAATAGTTTGTTTAAAAAAAATACAAAAATATAAAATACTCTTTGAAGTTTTAAAATAATTTTTTTTAAAGAAAGATTAAAAATAATTTTATATTTATAGATAATCTATAAGGTAATACATGATAATAATTTTTTTTAATTTTTTTATTAAAATAAATGATGTTAAATACTGCTTTTAAAAGTTTATGAATATTTTTTAATTATTGTATTAATGGGTATTTTTAAAACATGTAAGAATAATAATAAAACTTTTAAATTTTAATACTAATTTTACCTTTTAAAGCTTATATTTGGTTGCATTATGGTCCTAAGTTATTATTATTATTATATATATATATATATATATATATATATTTTACTCTTTCTTCGTCGTATTCCTCCTTTTTTTTCATGTTGCATCATCAGCTAAACCATGAAATCCACGCATGCACCATTGAACTGAAATGAACCCATGCCCACGCACAGTTTGAGGTCTTTGCACAACGAGACCGAATAAATTAATGGCTTAAGTTGTTCGTAAGTTGAGATCTCACATGATGTCGTAGGTGTAAAATTGTCTAGAATTTGCAAATATGGTATGCTACCTAGGAAAATGAAATAAACTACACTTAATGAAATTTAATGCATACTACTGCCCTATCTTGATTTCCAAACCTTTGTTACAAGTTTAAATAATAGGCTTCATCATCATATGTATGGGATTGCACTACCAACCTTATTAGTGGGGCGACTTACTGAATACCTAAAGAACCCATGCACGTTACATTAAGTTAGTTCATAAAGAAGTTGGTTCGAGATTACTTACTGAAGTCTCACAGCTTGGTTTCTAGAGTAGTATATATCTCGTGCGAGCAATGCCAATCTTTTAATTAATAAATAAATAAATAAATATATATATATATACCTAACACCAACTATTAATCATCACCATCCCTAATTGGCTTCGATTCCCTACTTTTCCTTCTTGTTTTATTCAGCTAATATTTCTAATATTCCTTTTCCCCACTTAACTTTGGCACCAAAACAAAACCTAATTTTGTTCTTATTATTATTTTAATTAATTATTCAACATGAATATAAATTTGAATGTTAGGTTAAACTGGACCAAAACATTTAGGTTGGCGTGCCTCTCTGGATTGCATCTATTTAGTTCGATATGACTACGAAGGAGCGTTTCATGTGTTGGGACGTTTGTGGTACCTACAACGTCATATATTGTTAATTATTGAAATATTTCTATTCACAAAAATTTGCATCTAGCTCGATAATTAAAATTTAATGAACCTATTATTGAATAAGACTAATTATCGATCAACAATCTCATTAATTTGGTTTAACGAGGTGATGAAAGATCGTTTTACTTGTTCGATCAACGTTATGTATAGTTAATTATTTATAAAAGTATGCAACTTGTTCGGGAATTGAAATTTAATAAATTTGTCATCGAATAAGAGTAATTATCGAGGTGTTTTTTTCCCTTATTATATTAGTTTATTTGATTACTCTTTCTTTCTCGAGATTAAAGATTTTTTAATTTTTTAATTTTATGTAGGATAGATTTGTAATTTTTTAAATATATCGAAAGGTTAATAGATTATTTAATTAAAAGTGGAAGAATTTTATTAAACCTAAAATTAAATAAAAATATTTAGTCATATTTTAAATTTTATAAAATACTAATTAATAAAAATACATTGAATTTTCAAAATTTATTAATACCTTAAACATTTTTAAAAAAATTTAAAACACTTTTAAACTTTTTTAAAAAAATTGAAAAATACATTTTTTTTTTAAATATTCATAAGTAAAATTAAAAGATTTAGGAGTAATCTAATTGAACTTATTTTTTTATAATGCTATTTTTAAAATTCACAAATATTTTTTAAAATCTTTTAAAGTTAAAAACTAAAATATATTTTTTAAATACGAAACAAAGTAATAATAGATTTCATTAATAATATTTTTTCAAAGTTTTATTTTTATATATTAATTAAAACCTTAATGGATATTTTTATTAATTTAGTTAAAAAAATAAAACCATTAGCCGCCTTTGCCATGGAAAGGTCGCATTCCAAGAATACCAAATTTGCAAAGCTGGCGCCTGGCTGGAACCAAAGTCCATTATTTTAAATATTAATATGTTATCCAACTCAATTCCCTAAGCTCATAGCTTTAAATTAAATATAATATAAATTTTAGTATTACGTAATATTAAAAATTTAAATTAATTAATTTTTTTATTTTATAAAAAAACAATTAAGATTATTTTAAATTGGGTTTGAGATTTTATCTCATTATAAATAAATTTTAATGTTCTTTCAATTATATTTTACTAAATTCAAAATTTCTTTTGAATTAAAAAAAAAATTAAGTACTTGCGGATAAAGCAATCAATTAGGTTTTTTTTTTTTAAAAAAAAAAAACAAATATGAATTTCAAAAATAGAATTATTATAAAAATAGTCTTTTTATATATTTCATAAAATAAAAACATGTCTGCGTTGGAGATAAAGTATCAATACCTTTCTTTATGCTAGTAATAAGTTAGACAGGGTATTATAGTGTCTATTTTCATTATTTTTTTTTTTATTTTCAACAAACACGGTCCATACAATTCCACGTATTAATTCAAAACTTGATCAAGATGTGTTTGGACCCTTTGTTGGGTCAAAATGGCTTGAAAGCACTCAATTGGAGTTTATCAGGTGATTTCAACCCTAATCGAGACCTATCAAGATACTGCTATACATCAATCCAAAACTTCACCAAGATGTGTTTAGTCCCTTCGTTGGGTCAAAATGGCCTAAAAACATTAACCGGAGCTTATCGGGTGATTTCAACGTTAATCAAGACCTATCAAAATGCTCTACACATCAATCCAAAACTTGATCGGAATGTATTTGAACCCTTTGTTGAGTCAAATTGGAGCTTATGGGGGTGATTTCAACCCTAATCGAAACCTATTAAGGCACTGCTATACATCAATAAAAAACTTAATCAAGATGTGTTTAGACCATTTTCTTAGGTTAAAATGACCTGAAAATGCTAATTGCAGCTTACAGAGTGATTTCAACGATTATCGGGATGCCTCGAAAAATTATAATTCTTTTGTTTTTAATCGGTGAGATATCTCTTCCATCTGGAGAGTTGGTATCTCCATTTATGTAATGATTTAAAGGAGCCAAAATTATTTTAATTTATTCAACAAAATAATAAAAATATTTAAAGTAAGGAATAAAAAATAAAATAAAATAAAATAAAATAAATTCACTGAACCACAAAGCCAAAGCCTTTAGCTATAAAAGCTACCCCCTCTCTCACTCTCTCAATTATCTCCAAAATGGCTATCTCCTCCAAAGCTCTCATTGCTTCCCTCCTCCTCTCTCTGCTCTTCCTCCACTCTGTAAAACCCCAAACCCATTTTTTTTAAATTATTTTTTTTTTAAATTTAATCTCTAAAATCTCATAATTTCCTTATTTTAATTCCAGGTGGAATCCATTGGAGCTGCTATGGTCTCCCCAAGCCCTCAGAAAATGGGTAATTATAATTTAATTTAATTTATTTAATTTATTTAATTTATTGTAATTTATCGGAGTTGAACGGTTTGGTTCCAGACTGCGGCGGCGCGTGTGCTGCAAGGTGCCGGCTGTCGTCGAGGCCGAGACTGTGCCATAGGGCGTGCGGGACGTGCTGTCAGCGGTGCAACTGCGTTCCGCCGGGGACTTCCGGCAACCACCATCTGTGCCCTTGCTACGCCAGCTTGACCACCCACGGCGGCCGCCTCAAGTGTCCCTGAGTTCGCCGTCTCTCAACTCGTTTATGTGTAAATCGTTCACGCTTTTGTGTTTTAAGGATATATGAATATCATAAACTGTCTCTTTTGTTGTAATAAAGGTGACGTGTCTTGTCTCTGTGTAGTTCTCTGTTCTTATTTATTTATTTTTTGAAAATGATAGTAGAAAGGGTAATTTCGTAAATTCGGTATAATAAAATAATAGTATGGGGTTTGGACGTGGCATAAGCAAAGTTTGATTCTGTGGATAGCTGGCGGCGCCACCCAGCTGGTTCCTACAATTGTGACGTCAAAAATGAACAGCTCCTTAAGTTTTATTTAAATTTTACTCAATTTGTTCTGTACCAAATTTCTAAAAATTTGCAAAATTTTCAACTTAATTTTACTCACATTAACTTGGTAGAGCTGCAAAGTTATCGAGTAAATTTATCATTAATCCATAACAATAAATAAAAATATATTTAAAATACAAAAAAATTCGAACAACCTTAAAATAGAAAATCAAATATTTTTATATGGAGAATTATTAGAATTTCTAAAAAATTATTATGAGAGACATTATCCGTGTAATTAAAAAATTTTAAAAAATTTAAAATGAAGAAAATTATAATTGAAAATCTTTAAAATAAAAATTAAAAAAAAAACATTGTAGGCATAATTAAAAAATATTAAACCATAAAAAAATAATAATAAATAATAAATTGAAAAAATCGATGAGACTTAATATCCCTCCTTATTAGTTTGGGCCCACAAACCCATTTCATTCACAATGAGAATGGCCTGCAACAATTTCGCTCTTGCAAATATTTTGGGCTTAGCTGACGTGGCACATTGTACAAGCCGCATATATATATATATATATATATATATATATATATATATATTGGACAGTAAAAAGTACGTCTAAATAAACCAATAATTTTGTATATTTATCTAAACCTACAAATTTTTAAAATTTTTAATAATACATTTTTTATTTTTAAGTTTGAAAATTACATAAATTACACTAACGACAAACGACAAGTATTTTGTATAGAAATCGAAAACGCTCTATTTTTTTCTCTTTATTTACTCGAGCACTATTTTTGTCAAATTTTTAGAGGAAGTTTTTATTATTTAAAATAAATAAATAAAGGAGATTAATGTCTAGAAATTAAATTAACCATGTAAAAATGAAGAAATTAAAAAGAAAAATATATGGGAGAGAAATTACTATTTAGCCCTTCTCGATTGTGACCTTTTTTTGGTAGGAAAAACTTGGTCGCTAGCATGTCCAACTGAAGTTGGACTTCTATTCATTCAAGCCCACAAACAACACCAACGGTTAAAACCCTTTCCTTCGCAGTTCGTCCAACCGTTACCTTCTTCATAAACCCTAAACGTCTCAGAACACACACCAATTTCTCACTCATTTTGATTCTACAGTTTATGCTTTGTAAGTTACTCCTATTCCTGAGTAGTGTTTCAAGATGTCCTCCAGTAATCTTCCATCTGAATCGCCTCGAAACCCTAGAGTGGCGTGGGAAGGCTGCAGCGTTTTACTCGACATCAATGATGGCGACCGACTGGTTTTTGCTCGACTCTCGCCTGCCTCGTACGTTTTTGGCCACCAAATTATTGTGTAGATTTGTGTTTTTCAATGCTCAGTAAGTGACCAAAAATACTTTGATTTGCAGTACGCTGAAAATCGGGAATAAAAGTTACTCTCTAAAGCCCTTGATCGGTCGTCCTTTCGGTTCGTTGTTTCAAATTGAAAGTGGAGACAATGGTCAACATTTGGCTTGTGTTACGCCCTCCAGAGAAGAAGGTTTGATTTCTTGCTATGGATTTTGTCAACGAATTGCTTTCATCTTTGCAAAAATTTTAACGGAAGCGTTCTTCTACTTTGGCATCTGTTTCCGAACGCAATGATGGTCAAGAAACGGAGGAGATGAAGGAAGAACAGGTGGTCAAAGATGAGCTGAGAGATAACAGAGCGCTTGTAGACAATAATAAGGCACAAAGCCTCTCTAGTGAAGATATAGATGCAATGCGAAGGTAAGACATTGATTTACTTTTCCACTGGTTCAAGAACATGTTAAGGCTTTAGCATTTTCTAGATTTATTTCAAGAAACTTGCCACCATGTTTTTTAAAATTATGTTATTGTTCAAGATGCATAATCTTTCTCTTTATATGTAGTCAGGGTGCAACTGGTGATGAAATTGTGGAAGCTCTCATTGCCAACAGTGCAACATTTGAAAAGAAAACAGTTTTCTCTCAGGTGATCGGAATGTTCATATGCTGAGTATTTTCGTCTTTGTTTGTCGGTTTTTTTTTTCCTTCTAAAGTCGTCCAATTCATATTATCTGCAGGAGAAATATAGGCTCAAAAAACAGAAGAAATATGCTCCTAGGGTACTTTTGAGGAGACCTTTTACTCGAAGGTATCGATGATGACACTTAAATACCAGAAACTTTTTCATAATATATAATGGCTAGTTTATATCAAAATCATGAATATTTCTATATGTAACATCTTGAAAATAGTAGAGTTCATATTATGGTCCAGTTTCCGTTGTTTAATGCTGATGTTTCTGTTCCCCATCTTGCAGTATATGTGAGGCATACTTCAAGAAATTTCCAGCTAGAATCGGGTAATCTTACTTGTCCATTTTTTTCCATTCAGTTTTAATTCTTTCCATGAGCATTCATTATACATCTCATTATCTAAAATAATTATTTTAGTCGTAACAACATCCTGCACGTTTTCTATTCATTAGATGACTAAAAGAAATGGTGTCATATGAGGACGTTAATTTGGGTCAATATTTTGGCGTTTGGAAATTATCACTGTGATAATATTATTCTGATCTTCCACCTTGCTATTTGTTTAAGGAATAGTTGGATTTTTTTCCCAGTAATATCACAGTTCACATCTTAATGTTCAAGTTCAATTATAATGTTTTATAGGTAACAGCATCTTATTGCCCTTGCTATGAATTTCTTGGTCCATCTCCTGGTTATAATAATTGAATTTCACATTATTTATCATATTTTAAGTTTCCATCATAAGCTCTCTGATGGTTTGATGTTGGAAACAGTATTAATGTGATCTGTTTCCTTGCTTATGATTCAGATTCTTGAGAGTGGATGCTCTGTCTCTTCTTCTTTCTTTTGCCAACGTGACTTCAAATTCTGATGTTCTTGTGTTTGATATGGTTGGTGGTCTTATCACTGGAGCTGTGGCTGAGCGCTTAGGAGGTCGGTCACATCCTTTATCATTCTTGGCATTAATAAAGTGGTGGTTCACTTTTGTTCAAAATGGCCGTCAATCCTCAATGAATGGTGTGCCCTGGCATAAAAGCTGGGCTATATGTGCAAGGAAAGAAGTTTTGGTGTAAAATAGGCGTGGCTTAAAATTATTCGAGCAAATCTGACTGCTTCTTATTTGTACTCGTCTCAAGAAAATTAGGGTCGTATTAGCTCATGCGTATAGTTTATATGCCGTTTACCATATTTTCCAGTCTTACTATCTCCCTAATTCAATTTTGATTTTTGTTAGTGTGAAATATATGGAGTTTTCCTGAAGGTCGTAAGTGTGGCTTGAAATATTTGAGGGTATCTTCATGGTCGTGTTTTTTACCGTGTTGAAAACTTAATGACTTAAAACCTGTGTTGTTTCATTGGGTTAGTCTAGGGTGGGAAAAGGCTAAGCCTCTTTTATTAGTGCGAGGTGTCCATATGCATAATTGGAATAAACAGGGGAAAAAACATAATTAGGTGTCAAGTTTCAATATGATAATTACAATTGTGTGTTTTGCTTAGAATATGTGATGCTAAATTGTGTTGGTTTGTTTACAGGCAAGGGTTCTGTATGCAATGCATACCTTGGAAGTAATCCAAATCCTATGGAAATAGTAAGAATGTTCAACTTTGATGATGAAATTTGCGCAAGGTTTGCTGCTTTTGTCCTCTTTCTTTATCTTGTTTGCATTACACATTTTATTTGTTTCTACACCATTTAGTAACTTTTTATCCATCAGGATAATGCGTTCACCTCTTACCGATCTTGCCTCATCCCAAGTTTCTAATGGTGAACATGAAGTCAATGTAAGTCGAGTTTTTCTTTTCTCATTGTTTTCTTAAGACGAGTTTCAAATTGACTTTTAGGATGCTGAATAGTGCTTTTGATTATAAGTGCTTATAGAAGTATCTGGTGTGCAATTAAAAGTGTAATGACTCAAGCCCACTGCTAGCCGATATTGTCTCATTTGGACTTTTCCTTTTGGGGTTCTCCTCAAGGTTTTTAAAACGCGTATGCTAGGGAGAGGTTTTCACACCCTTATAAAAGGTGTTTCGTTCTCCTCCTCAACCACTGTGGGATCTCAAAATCCACCCCCTTCGGGGACCAGCGTCCTCGCTTGCACTCGTTTCTTTCTCCAATCGATGTGGGACTCCACCAAATCCACCCCATTTGGGGCCAGCGTTTTTGCCGGCTCATTGCCTCATGTCCACCCCCTTTTGGGGCTCATCCTCCTCGTTGGCACATCGCCTGGTGTCTGACTATGATACCATATGTAACAATCCAAGGCCACCGCTAGCAGATATTGTCCTCTTTGGACTTTCCTTTAAGGTTTTTTAAACGTGTCTACTAGCGAGAGGTTTTCACACCCTTATAAAGGATGTTTCGTTCTCCTCCCCAACCAATGTGGGGTCTCACAAAAAAATGATTTTGAAATTCCTTAAAATACTTTAAAGGGACTTTATACTATGTTTAGAAGTGCGCTTAAATAGTCCTCCAAAAAGTACCAGTTTAAAAATTGTTATTCTCGAAATTCATTTAGTAATAATCCTGTTTCTTTTTATTTTTGGTAAAGATTAAAGCACAGGATGAGGCATCTGAACCTGTTAACATGGATGAAGGCCCTCCACCATCTACAGACCAGTCTTCAGGTCTCAACTCAGAGTCTATAGTTTCTCCATTAACTAAAGTATTAAAATGCGCAAAGGCTGGAGATAAGGCACCGCCAGAAGTTGTTAAATCATGGAAAGAAAATGGTTTTACAAGGTGAGTATAGTTTGGTGGTAATATTTGTTTTCACCATGTATAGTAATTCACTGAATTCTTTTGAATACTTGCAGCCTAATAATTGCTGCT